CCCCCCCCAAAAGCTACCAAAGACGATGGAGCATGTACCACAGTCATTGTTTCGACCCCAGTGAATCAGATGCATTTGTACCACAATTATTTGTTCTAACCTGTCTTGGAAATCCCATATATATATATACACACACACAAATGCATAAACATACACTTTTCACAGTAATGGACACAATACCTGCTCTAGGTCTGCTGCTGTTCTTTTATTTTCTCTTGTAGCATCTTGATATGGTAAAATGAAGAGTTCAGCAGATGTGGGCAGACCGGGGAGCACTGCGACCAGAAGATGCTTGCTTGAAATACCTGTTGCCTGATACACAGACAATTAATGGATAGAGAAACAGTGGGGATGGCACTGAATGTTGACAGCTTCTTTGCTAAGGCATCACAGTACTTATACAAATGAGGTAGGGTGTATCTGGTACAAGAGCGAGAATCTTGTTAAAATCCACTGCAGGTAAAAAGTCAGAGATTAATAATTTCCTGATATAAGCTATTTTACCATGTTCTCCAGTAAAATATGCAGGGTCCTAAGGCAACAGTGATAAACAGACATGCTAAAAGGAGCTCCTAAATAACAGTTGCATATGGTACGATTTGTTTTGTCTAAATACAGCTATTTTAAAGTTACTTGACTACCCCAAGTTCTTCCCCGAGGTTCCTCATTTAGTCAATGGCAAGAAGCCGTGTGTGAAAGGGCAAGGTATGTGGGCAGAGTTGCGCTCTAGAGGTGTGATTAGCCCAAAACGTCTTAAAAGCCTTGTGGAGACTCAGGGAGAGAGAAGATGATGAATCAAGTTTGAATCCCAAAAGCCAAACAAATTCTTATAGTTCATATTCTGGGTCAATTCCACAAGCTAATGAGGACAATTTTTTTTTTCTTTAGGTGTTAAAGATTGTATTAATCTGCAAATATTTTTTTTTTTTTTTGTCTGTTGGCTGAAAATCTTAAGCAACCACTTTAAACCCTAATCCCCCTTCAACACAAATTAGCCAAAATTCAGAATAAAGTACCCCACAGGCATCACAGCCAGGGTCATCTCTGGTCATGGGTTGCAGCTGCTGTTTACCATGTCATTACACAATCAGATTGTGGAGTTATTCTCCAGAAAATGAGCTAGTGTGGCCTTCAGGAAGTTTTGTGAACCAAAAGAAGGAGAAACATAGTTTGCTGAATCTTCCTCCATTGCCTCTTTGTGTTGTGGATTATCCAGCAAATACACTTAAATCTCAAAGTTTTGATTTAAATCTTTAGTTTCCAAGTGTTGAATTTAGTAGGTCACTTTTAAAGAAAAAAAAAAAAAGCACCCTCAGATATAAAGGCAGACCACAGCAGCTGGGTGCAGCACAGAGATTCGCCTGCAGCCAGGACTTGCAGCCCTTTCAGACATTAATTGGACCAAAACCGCATGAATTCTCCTCCCTTATAGTTCAAAGACTTGGAGCAGCTGCTCGTTGAAGGAAATGATGGACAGAGGACAAGGAGTCAGACGAACTGATTACACACCATCACCTGAGCTAATTCTGCGGCTATCCCATGCGTGCCTGCTGACAGCCCAGGGAATACCCTGTGGAACTATAAAAAGGGAACCCTTCCCCTCCACTGCACACCAAGGAAAAACATGTGGGTTTGTTGCTGTTGGTTTTTTAAATGTGGATTTCGAAAAAAACCTGTAACAATATAAAGGACTCATATATTCCTTCCAAGTATCCTGTGAAGCCAGGGCTTGCATTATTTGTGTTTGCCTTACAGGTTTTTTTTAAGATGTCAAGAAAAAGACACAGTATTACCAGTTAATGGAAAGTCTTCATTTTCTGAGGCTGGGAATGATATTTTTTGTCTGGAAGCTTTTGGCTGATCTACTCAGTTCATTCTTGTCTTCTTCATCAAAAGCAGGAGACAGGACTCAGAAAATCAATGATGTACGCAAATAATTATTATTATAATACAAAATAGGATATTTTGTGAAAATCTGAAATTATCCCTACTTAGAGAGAAGATCAGATTTTAGTTGAAAACTATAATTTCTTATGTAGAATTTTTATCCAAGTTTATGGTACTCTGTAATAAGAATATAACACTTTTATTAAAGTTCATAAAAATTCTATAGCACAGCTATAATTTCCTATTGAATTATTTAGTTATTCAACTCATTTTTATACCGTTTTCTTAATTGCTGTAGAAATCTATTGGGTTTATCTTTAATTTTTACAGGAACTTTTCACAAAGGCTTGTTTGAGGTGAATCATTTAGCTATGTAAAGAGGGATAATTAGCTATCAATTTTTTATTTTTTCTTATTCAAACAACAAAAAGACTCCTTGTGTTTTCACTGCTCTGCTTTTGGAATGTAGCCTTGGTACTGTAGTTTTACAATCCTTTTTTTATGGCTTGATTTTGTTTTATTGAGTTGTTTATATTCTGAAAATTCATCCTGAAGATAAATGGATCCTTGAATACTTGATACAGACATAAATAAGTCAGAAGAACCAGCTCCAGAAAAATGTTCTTTTTTTTTTTTTCCTTTCCTCCTCTCCTCCAGTCTTCTGAGGAAATTGAAGAAAAAAAATCTCATCTACAAGCCTTGTATCTTTTCAAAATCTGTGCATCTTTATTAAAAAAAAAAGCAGAAAACTTGTTTCAAACAGTTCCTTTCACTATTTCTCTGCTGAGCTGAGAAACCCGAACTGTCTCTCCTAACTTTTCTTAGCCTCTCAGTTTGAAATCCAAATCATTCACACAAGAATATTTTTATGACATTCTGTTCCACAGTTAAAGAAGGAACTTCAGAGCTGCTCCATAGTGTTGATGGGAAAAATAGCATCCAATCCTGACCCATGAACCTCATGCTACGTGAAAGACATAAAGCACTTACTCTGGTGCTCTTCTCTAGTAAAAATTGGGGGGTTGGGTCTCCTAAGTTTCCTGCAGCATATTTGTAATTCCATTAGAATAGCGCTACTTTCCACAGCTGTATAAGAATAGCAGTAAAAGAAGTAAGCATTGCTGTGAAGTAGTGAAGACATTTGTACAGCTATAGGTAGGTATAAGTAATTTGTTTTCTATATGCCCTTCTCTCAGAAACATTCCACACAATCCACTGTCATTAAAAAGAATAAACTCAAGGCTGACTCTGAGCACTGGATTGTCATAGCATGGGATAATTTCACCTGTTTAAAATTTAGGATTCTGACCTCAAACACTAGACTAGTCTCCTTTTATAGTTGGTAGAAACAGAGACACCTCGAGAGAACAGCTGATTCAGTCCTAACGTAGGCACAAAGCGGAAATTAAGAACCATTGGAAAGCAGGTTATGCACGTTGCTTACCTCCACCAGAGCTCTCTGGACTACTCTACTGATGTCCCTTCTCCACTCTGGGATATCTGGATTGTAGTCATCCAGGTTTGGAGAGAATGATAACCGCAGGGACTGAAATTGCTCTGCAGATACAATGACATGGTGGTGAGTAAAGGACTGTGAAATGCCTTAGTGCCAAACAAGTGGGCAGAATGTAGTGAAGCCTGCTGCAGCTCATGTTGCGCTTAATCAATCTGCAGGTGACGCACAGACTGGCAGAGAATCCAGCAGTGCGTCTGAGAGATTCACTGAGAGATTTGGAGAATCTGAGAGATTCACAGCTTGAGTGTCACAGAACCGAAAAGGGTGATCAGTCCTTACTTCAACAGATGAATAGCTCTGGAAAGGAAGCTGTGTTGGGAATGTAATTGAAATGCTACCTTAATCTTGACTTCTGAAGCAGGCAGGCCCTGTGAAAGAAGCTGTAATTGTACTATCATGGACATGCCCCAAACACACGAAATCTTAACTGGAAGGAGACAGGAACAAAGGTGGGGAAAGGACTAGCCTTGGAAAACATACTTCATCTCTTTTGCTGTTAACAGAAATGCCCACTCTGATCACTAAGACCATGTGCTTAGTATAAGCAGCTAAAACTGGGATTCCCGGTGGTTCTTAGACTACATCTACTCTATACGATATTTGTGTGCACTAACTGCTTCTGAGGCCTGAGTACAATATCAAATCAGTACAGATTTCTGTACAGAACTGCAGCACACGTCTTCCAAGCTAAGCAGCTTTTGTATGAGCTAAGAGGCCTCTACTGGCCAAGAAGGGAGAAAACCAGCTCACAAAATGACCTAACATTTTTGGCAATCATGTAAGATGACCAAATAGTGATAGAGCAGGTGCAGAGGGCTCTGGGAAGGAGATCCATGTTCTGCAACCATCTCTCCAGCTAATGTCAGTGGCCTTCAGAGGTGTCATCCTGAACTGATAACGGTGGAACTGAGCTTATAATCCCACTCATCCTGCAATGAATACCTCATGTTGCTGCCAGCTAGCCTGGCTCTCTAGTTCTTGACTATGGAGAATCTTATGTGAAATGAAGGGGGAAGAGCTCACCATACACAGCAATAGTCTTTGTATCCTGAAGAATGGTGTTCCCTGCCGCGACCTGAACGGTGATGGTGTTCATTCCTTCCACAGAAAATGTGAATGTGATGCTCCCTTCCAATGTGATCAGTGGCTGCAAATATATCAGAAAATGATAAATTAAGTTAATTTGGCTGGAAAGGAAAAGCAAAAAATGAGTTTGGCTCTTTAGCCTATTGGGATGGTTTGGGGAGTCAGTACCAGCTTGGGAACTTAAGACATAGAAGGTGTCATGTGACATGGAAGCCTGTTTTCTGGAGAGGGCCCAGGGATCCAGATGGCGATGTCCTCCTGAAGCTCAAAGTAAGGTACTACAATTTCCAAAGGCGATCAGTTTTAAGATCCTAGTATTTCCTTCCCACTTAGCACGCTGGCTGTTCTGAATCCCATGGCAAAGTGTCCATCTTTGCTGCACTCCCCAGATCCTAACATGAAGGCCTGCAAGACTCACTGTGCTGAGGTGTCACATTCCTTTCCCAGATTTAGCTGTCAGTGATTTGTTTAAGGTCACTCAAGGAGGTTGTAACAGAACAAGGAAGCGCATTAACACTTCTCAGTTGTTCTTCCTCCTTATCCTTAGACATGGAGACATCATTTTTGGAAAGTGATGGTATTTAGAGAAGACACAGATCCCCTCAGCTTGCTTCGCTGTGCCAACCAGTTTATCAATGAGTTGTGTCCCCTTTCAGTGGTCTCTGCCTTCACTTCTGGGTTTGTTATTAATGAATTCTGGGTGAGATCTTCAAAGCACCCAGTATTAAGTCAAACTCTGTTCCCATTGCAGTCTGTAGTAAAACTCTCACTTCAGTGGGAACAGAGTTAGACCAACTCTGATCACTTATGAGCTTAGCAGATCAGAGGGAAGGTTAAAAGGTGACAATCACAGCCTATAAGTACCTCTAGGGGGAGATGATTTCCGATAGTACAGAGAGTTCTTTAATCTACACACAAAGGCATAACAAGATCCAACAGCTTGAAACCGAAGCTAGATAAATTCAGACTACAAACATAATGCATGTGTTTAATGCCCAGGGCAATTAGCTGTGGGGAAATAGTTGGGGGAGAGGGTAAGAAAGAGCAGCAGTGAATTCTCCATCATCTGTTGGAAATTGTTAAGGCAAAACAACAAACACAAAAAGTCAGGTTCTGCCTTAATCACAGAGAGTTAAATAAAGCAGAAAATACTGATGAAACCCTCTGACCTGCATTATACAGAAGATAACCACATGTGGCTGAAGGTCCCTCTTGGCTCTGCAAAATCCGTGAGAATTCTCCCCCCAGAAACTAATTAGGGTCTCTGGGTACTTCAGCCACAAAGGTGCATAAAATAACAGTTATAATGCCTGTGCAGATTTACCAACACTGCAAGCAAAGAGGCAGAAGCATGTGGTGCATGCTGTTCTCATATCTGAGCAGAGCCCAGAGCCAGGGAGGTGTGCTGGGAACCATTTTACCCACCAGTAGGCCATGATAACAAGGTCTTCTTGCACATAGCATAGAGTGTGGGGGCTTAGGACTGGGCTCAGCATATTCAAGGGGAGGCACAGAACTGATGGCAGTTTCTTCCCTTGTTAGTCACCAGAGAAATGAGGTTTAAACTCTAGGGCTATATAAAGTCAATGCCAGATATAAAACCAGCTTCAGTTTGAAAGGTTAGTTTCCTAAAAAAAAACCAAACAACCCCCTGAGTTTTTTTGTTGTTATTATTGAAGAAGGGAGGGCGGGGAAAAACACACTAGAAACTCTTCCAGATTTTGATTCACTACATCCACCTTGGATGTAAATGCAGGGAGAAAGCTTTTGGCAATTTGCACAAAATGGCAATAAACTTCACAGCTAAGTCACAGCAACAAACACAAAGCAGTTCTTACATTTCAACATTGGAACATCACAGAACCATTAGTCTCTTGCTCTATAATTTTCTTGCATGTGTGACTATTTAGAAGCTTTCCCAGATCCCTCTCTCCCTCCCTCCTCAGTCAGAAAAGCTCCTCCAGCATTATTTTGATCTCAATCCATAGGGAATACAAACCTCTGTGTTGTTCCCAAACCACCAGACATAAGTAAGTGTTCCCACTTGGCTTGGCCACAGTACTGCCGTGGCGTTGACCTCCTTGTTCTTTGTGGTGACGAACGGTAGAGATAAGTGAACATGTTCCAAAGGGCCTGCAGAGACAGAAGCAGCAGGTGAGTCCTCCCTCTGTCTGAAATGTCAGCCTGGGGGAGGAGGGAACTGAGAGGATATCCATTGGTTTAGGGGAGAGAAGTCCTCCAAAATTACTGTGGGGCATGACAGTTAATGTTTTGGCTTGGTGCCATTTCTAGAGAGGCAAGCTTAAATCTGTTCCTCATAGAACAGGAGCTACCCCTGTTCCTGAAGCAGAAAAACTCTACTGCAGGAAAGTCTCATACTCAGGGGCATTATATACAACTTAAACAGTAGGGGCAGAGCCCTGTTATGTGAATACAGCCTTCACTGGGAAGACAGAAGCACGTACGGGACAAATGGCTTCAGTGGACATGAAGCACCTCTGCTGGTGCAAACTGCTATAATTTGGTGAACTTCAGCAGTGGTGTATCTGTATGAGCTGAAACTCTGTCTGAAGGCATCTATTCACGTTGAGTGCCTTCATTTTAATATTACCTTATATTCTCTCCTTTTCCTCAATAAACTCTTTTATTTCTTTAGTATAAAAAGAACATAATGCATTCGACAAGTGACATTATGCCCAGAGTTACACGTTTCCCATCTTCTGGAGACAGATGGGCATGTGTTGCTACATCTTGTCCTGTAGATTATTTCTTAAAATATGTTCTGACTGTTCAGTTAGAGAACAAAGCAATTGTCCTGAGAGCGACAGAGAAAGAAGAAGAAAGAAAACCTAGATGATGCGGGAACATGGGTTTCTTAAACAAATTAAGGCCACATGTCCATGTCCTACATCTGCAAGCTCCCCAGTGATAAGAAGCAGAGATCACAGCTTGGAAGGATCGATTGCATTGTCCATATGGAGTCATGATACTTTGCTAGAGGATCTTACATATTTCATGAAAGAACTTTTCAGGACATACCACATGCATGTATCACCACTTAGACCTTGCTTTTCAAGCTAAAGGAACAGCACACATCTGGAGCAAGCACTCTGTACCCCTATACAGAACACATAGGCAGAGAGAGACATGTGGAAAAATTCTCCCAAATCAGACTGCATAAAGAACGGCAGCATGAACAGTTCCTGACTGGTTACTGAAAGGCAGCTTTCTCTGGGATGTAGACACAGCTGCTGCTTAACCTGACACAGCCCAATTAAGAGTTATCCATGATCAGACTAACCCAAGCCTGCAATACACAAAACCATGGCTTCTTTTTATAATCAGCAGTCAACGCTCTTCTTGAAAATTCACGAGAAGCCAGAATTTCACCCTTATGATTTTAATGGCATTTTCCTGCTCAGACACATTTCCATGACTGGGCTGTGCCTGTTCTTGGAAAGACCCTGAGATCTGAAAAACAGCAGCTTCCCAGGCTAAATATTTTGCAGCTCTGGTATGCTTTGGGATGTTTGCCAAATGCCCAATGTCAGCACAGCCCTCTAAAGGAATAAATTTCCTAATACCAGACATAGTGACAGCAGTGACGATGGAGCCCATGTAAAGTCTAATACACACCAACATAACTGCACAGCTGCTCTCACACATCTCACATGATCTGGCACTGCAGAGGCTGCCCAGCACCTCCTTGGACCTCCACCATATGCTGGCTAGGAAAGAACACGAAAGAATGGCTCAAGCAAGCCAATTCCGCATGAGTATTTCTGTGCACGCAGCTGATGGGTCAAAGTGGCTGGAATGCTGAACTATTATCTGGCCAGCAGATGGGGATAGCTCACTCTGGATAGGCCTTTAGCTTGGTAGGAGACTGTTTTCTCCCAGGTAAGTTTGAAAAGAATTCAAGAGAATTCATTTCTGAGCTTCATGCAGGGCCATGGAGATGACAGACCTTCACCTGCCCCAGGAAAAAAAAACCAAACTGTACAAGTCCCAGACAACAGAAAGGGAGAAGCTTCTCAAAAGGTTTACTCAGGCAGGTGGTGTTACTCTGAAGCATTCGGACAGTTCAGAGACAGCCTGTTGGCTGGAGAAGCAGTTTATATACAATTTACTTTCCATACACTCCAAAATGCTCCTGCCTCACAACAACCTGCATTTCCAGATGGCCGGCCCAACTGCAGCTGTGCGCTGGCCCCACGGCTGCAGCAGGATGAGGAGGGCATGGGGTGGAGGCTTTACTCTGATCTTTGAGATATTGAACTTTAACAGTTGGACTTGATGATCTTAAAGGTCTTTTCCAACCTAAACGATTCTATGATTCTATGATCATAAGCACTGCGGCTCAGTGCCTGCTGGTTTCCCCTCAGCAAGGCTGCTGGCCCCTGGTAGGGAAGGGTGTAGGAAGGGGCAGATCTGGTTGCACACCCTCAAGTAAACCAACCCTGTAACAAGGGGTCACCCAGTTAGTAGCCCTTCCTAAAACTCGCCAGATGTTCAGGCTGCACGCTGCTTTTCTGTGGATCTTACGATACAGTAGTATATATAGTGTGGGGGTCCATTGTAAAGACAGGTATTTTTACAAAACTCCCCAAAGGCCAAGCTCATGCACCCCAAGCAGAATACTCAGCAGGGAGCTGGGTGGCAATGTAAGCATTTGAATATGATTTAGAAGCTTTTGTGGATCTGGGTGTTAGAATCTGGAGGACTGGATTTATTGTACGTCTCTGTCCTTAGCACATCTATTGCTAGTCTGAGAGTGGCACCATGCTCGGTCTGCAACCTGTTTTGAAGTCCCTAATTATTGCCATGTAGAGAAAGGTGAGACATATCGCTTAGAGCTCTCACTTCTCCAGGGGGTCAGGCAGGTATAACCTGGGTCTGGCTGCAATGATCGCGCAGTATTTAAGTCCTATGCTGTTATTACCTGTGCAAAACACAGAAACATACACTACCAGTTGCTAAGTCACATGAACATATCTGAATATTGTTCATATTTTGTACAGCTTAAACAGTCAAAACAGTTCTTAAGTCTTCAATGTCTCAAGAAAATGGATTAAAACCAGCTATAAACCAGGAAGTCACTGTGAGTGAGAACGAAGGCTGGACACCTGTCTTCTCCTTCCATTTTGTGGCTGCTGCCTGAGAGAGTGGTTGTTGCTTCACGTGGTCTCATTACTCTGCAGATAGGCTGAGGGTATGCAATGGTCCCCAAGGAACCATCTCTTGTCAAACAGCGAGTGATTACAAACCCTGCTTGCACGAGGCTGTCGGAACCTCCTGCGAAACCACCGAACACTTCTCCATTTGTTTCCAATGACCTTTACAAAGAGTAAAAAAAAAAAAAAAACAAACTAAAAAGACCACGGCTCCTGGTGAGCTGACTTTCATAACCAGCAGCACTGGGAGGGGGATTTCTGCATTCAGAGCCCACAGCAGCTCCCGTGATAATTACTCAAGCACACACAGGGAGGCAAACCAGAATGAGACTCCAGAACTGGAGAAATTACACAGAAGTGTGTATATGCCTATTCTGAGCAGAGGCCCTTTTCTCTACCCTACTTAGAATGATACTTAAATGACTAAAAAAAAAAAAATAAAAAAATCAGTAGCTGTCTAAAAGCTGAGAATTTACCTTGATTCAGCACAGAACTGATATGGGCTAAACCCCCAAATCAAAATCCCAAGCTTCACAATAAGCTAATTTATGAATACAGTTATTTTTGCAAGGTATTATGAGCTTTTCAAATATGAAGTATGCTGAAGGATTCTGTGACACAGAAGTTTGCCACAGACCGGGATCTTTCAGGTTAGGGAATCATAAATGGTACACTATGATCATGAACCGAAAGTCTTTTGCCAGGGAGACATTCAGGGACATCTTGGCTCCTGCTTCTCTAGCGCTCCCTCCTAAACCTCCTGTCTCCCGACGCTATACCTCTCACTGCTCCCATCTGTTGATGTGATGGTGCACCACTGCAGAGCTGCCCTCCTCCCCTGAAGAGGCAGCTGCTTTCACGCTATATGAAGTTACTCCAAAACTAGACTTAAAGTAGACGGAACGTTCTAAATTATCTAGACAATATGTGGAGCTAATCTGGTAGAGGGTAAGTGGTATTTCTGTAAGCATAACTTTAAGTTTTGGAATTTCCTTTTTTTTTTCAGTAAATCTGGCACAGACACACACAGTTGAAAACATAATCGACAGAAAAAACCCCACTGTATAAAGAAAACGATGGCCCCAAACAAAATCCATTAGGGATGTTACAAAATTTCAGTAATAGGTTGATCCTTTGGGTTCATAACCATGTGCTAGAGAAATATGGAAGAACACATTGCTGGTTTCATGCAAGGACTTGAGATACATTTCAGTTGTAAATCAGAGACAGCTGAAGTATAAAAAGGTTAAAAAGATCAGCAGAAGAGCAATGTGAAGATAATATTTTTTCTTGTAATACTCTCTAACACCGAGATTTTGTTCCTATGACAACAGAAAGACTGAAATGCGCTGGTTTCCAGCCCAGAGGTGGCTGTATTTCATTAGCGGGCAAAACACATGTACAAAGTAAAAATCAAGGCTCATAAAAGTGATTAAAGATCCTGGACGTCTTTGTTTTTCTGAATTGTAAACCTGCTAACAAAGGTGTATTTCACAAAAGTCTGGACACTCCTTTGAGATGTCCGAAATTAGACTACCCAAAATTAGAGGTGGAACATGGTTTAAAAAGCAAATGTCACTATGGCCTGTGACTCCTCTCAGTCTGGAGTCCTCTGCTGGAGGACAGACAAACACTCATCATACCCCCTCACTCTGCAAAGCCCCGAATGTCATCTCTAAGGACAAGTAATAATTTTTTAAAGAATGACAGAAGCTAACGATGAGTATGAACATACGTACACGTTACATGCAGGTAAAGGACAGCGTTGTCAGAACCCAGGCTGTTTTCCACTAGCACGGTCACTCGGAATATGCCCACGTTCTGGTAGATGTGCTTGATCCCATCTTCTGTCGAGCTCAGGTTGGCATACGACACAGCGATGCCATCTCCAAAATCCACCTGAATGAGGGATCTCTGGAGGTCTCCCTGTGGTGATAGAAAAGAGAAAAGGTCAGAATAGACTCCGCTTTTCTTTTGAGAGACTGGATCAGTGGGGTGACCTAGACCAGCTGGAGGTCAGGTTTCATGTTACCAGAGGAAAGGTGGTCACTTCATCAACTTGCTCAGTAGTCAGTGGAAAGAAAGTGACCCCCTCTTGAGGCTGACTCAGCTGCACTGCAAAGGAGGTGTCCTCCAAGGTGTGCGCTATTGCCCTGCTTTTCCAATCATCAGGGGAACTAGGAGATCCTCTGGAAAATGTGCTGGCTCCTTCCCTTGGGTTTCCTTATAGCGAAGAGCCGGGTTGCAGTGGGGAATGGTGCTCATCTCAGCCAGCGCTCAGGACATGGGTAGCTCCTGAGATTGCCTCAGGAGCCTTTGGAACAACCCACATTGTGAGCTTTTGTATTTAAAACCATAAACAGCAGAAGGATAAAACTGAGAAGTCCTCAGGGAAGGGTCAGCTATATCAAAGCGGTGGGGTGTCAAAAGAACCGCTTCAGCCTCACATGATAACGACAGCTTACAGCAGCTTATGACTTGCTCAGTGGCCTGATTTAAAATGAGCTGGATTTGTATTTATTTCAGAACAGCTACCAACACTGCTGACACTAAGGGAGACCCTTTGTGCCTGCCTCAGAAGGGAAGGGCTAAAGAATTGACAGAGCTGATTAAACTCTCCTCCTCCTGCCTGGAGATAATGCCAGCGGAGTAGGTTTGTGCTATAACTCAGACTGCTACTTCGTGACATTGGACTCCTGGGCTGCTAATCTAGCACGTTTCAGAATTGATACAATAAATTACGATAAATAAATAAAAGTCACAGTTGGGAAACAAACAACCAAACCAACCGCATCACAAACCAAAAGCCAAGGATATCAAGGACCTGTATTCTCCATGCCAGAACAGGGACGCACTAATGTAAAACAATCCTGAAACAGGTTTTAACCTTCCACTCCTGAAACTGAATTCCAGCCCAGTGCATGCAGCTTTTTGTCAAACTCTATGTCAGAGTCACACAGCCCAAAAAGGCTTTTAAAACCCAAAAGAAGGGAGTGATCTCATTTCCTTTCTGCTTTACAAACAAAAAGACATTTTTTTTTTTTTTGGTTGCAAGCCTGTTTAAAAGACAGGAAAGTGAGTCATGCTTGCATACAAATAATCCATATAACCTATGTCACACACACTAGAAACACCTGCAAGATTTTCTCATAGCCCAGGGCAGCGACGTGCCTACGGTGAGGGCAGTTTCTGACAGCTGAACAGTTACACAGCCTACACTGACCTGTATAACAGCTGTGGCCGCTACAGATCCTCTCCCTCCCAGGTAAGATGCACTACCTTGTCTTAACTTTAAGCATTCTTACTCCTTTAGAAAGTCCCCCTCTGTGGCTCTGCATGACGCTTATGCTGGGAATGTTCACGTTTGCCGGCTGTTGCTATGGAGCAGCTCACCCCGCAGCCTGGCGCGCTGAACCAGCTGCCACTCTCTGGAAGAACGCCGGCAAATTAATCGCGGAGGGCAGTTCATAAAACTGGCTGAAAGGGCATTTAATTCACTTTGGTTTAGTCTCCTTTTCCTTTTTTGGGATTTTGGGTTTGTTTTTCTTTTCCCCTGAGAGAGAAACAGTCCTCTGGATGCCCGACTGGAATGAAAGGCACTGGTGTAAATGGTTGGCATCAGGCAAGCTTCCACATCAGAAAGGGAAATGCGTGTGTGGGTACAAGTATGGGAGGGAACTGTAACATAAGCTTTATATTCCTCATGTTCTCTCAGTCTTTTTATAACTTGTTGTGAAGGCAGAAATAGTGGAGGCTTGCCTGAATAGAAAGCAGGAGGAGCAGAGCTATACCTGGAGATGGCAAGAGAGACACATTTTCCCAAATGCTCTCTTTTTGTAGGCTGAAGTTGTAGTTGTTACACTGCCCTGGCACCCTGCTGGAAGCTCTGTGGCTTCCAAATGGATGAGACAAAAATAACCGTGTTGAGAAAAGACACCCCTTAACAGAGGCACATGTCTGGGGATCCCTACAGATACCTCATGCCATTTCCCTCCTGGCATCCTGAAAGTAAAGAGAGCAACTCCCTGTCCTTCTCCCGAGAGCACCAAGGAGGGTAAGGGAACCCTGAGGTGCTCAGACATTCCTGAAAAGGCCAACCTGAATATCCTTTTAGAAAGTAACAAGGAGATCTTGCATGCCAACTCAGGTCCAGGTTGCCCTTGGGTAGTTCTTAACTAAGTTTCTCTTATTAATTAACTTGTTAGCATCTGGAGTTTTCAATGACATATTGTCAAACCTAAGAAAGGTGCTTGAGCAATGCACACTGCTAAGGCCTGCATTCAGCAAAGCTCTTCTTAGCAAATTCTCTACTGGATGCTTTACTAGAAGATTAAGCGCCTGCTTATATTCTTCTTTGAGACACAAATCAGTGAGGCAAGGGCTCCTACCTGTGTTACACATAGGATCAAGCTAGGGGGATCATACCAGTCCTCATGAAGAGCCATTAGGAACACAGGAGATGGTCTTAAGTACAGAGTTATGTCTTTTGCTGAGCTGAGTTACTTGAAAGACGTGCAGTTTCAAACATGGTGCCATGGTTTGGGCACTCCTGACTGCTTGACCGAGCCAATAGAAGGAATCAAATGGGTTATGCCTCCACAGACAGAACTGAGCATAAATGAGCTCCTCAGCTCTGAACCCCTTTCAGAGGGGTAATATATTCTCTCAAGCATGGTGCTGGACTTGGGCCAAAGACAGACATCTCTGAAGTACCCGTAGATGCTCTCCCAATTCCCCTAGGTCCATCATCATCAGGGTTTTAGTCATCTTTGGTTACCAAAAAAGAGATTATGTATTCAAAAATGTGTCAGTAAAGCCATACTGCTGGGACAAAAGCTGTTCACATTGTTAAAACTGCACCACCATAGTGACCTTGCTGGCTTTATCATCTCTGAGTACATTTGAGGTCATGCAGTTGAAGTACAGTTCAGGTCGAGGCATATTCCTCTGCGTATTTGAGGTAGCAGAGGAAGATGAAAAGGGTGACAGCATTTTAGAACAGCCCTGTTTCTGCAAGTGTCAAAATTTGTGCTCTAATGAGTGTTTTTTCTTTTGTCTTTGTTTTCTCCATAGCCACGAAACCCATGGTGTCTACAGGTGCTGCCAGGGAAGGGAACCATTTCTAAGGCATGCAAGACTTAGACTTCAATTTTTCTTTCAAATTCCCTAGGGACAAAAGATGCTGGCAGAGACATCTGAAAATCTAATTGGAGAAGAACTTCAGCTGCTGTTCCCCCAGTTGTCTTCATTTGTCTTGGCCTTTCCTGTTTTGTTTTAAAACCCTTTGAACTGGAAATACATTTTCCATTCAGTAAGAACCAGACTATGACACTTCTCTGAAAATGCCACATTTTGAAAAGCTGACATTTAAAATTCTAGTTTAGGAAGGGAGAGAAAAAAGTCAGGAAAACAACGAGACTATGTTTTGACTTGTTCTAATGTTTTACCCGTGCCAGGTAAGAGCACAGGCAGAAGAACAGGAAGAGAAAGCCAGTGAGCCAAAATCAAAACATTTCCCATACAGCCCACACCTGATCTACCTCAGCTCCAGCTGTCTGCACCTCAGGCAGCTCTCCAGAGCCGTCTGCAAGTGCCGTTTTACCAAGAGAAGTTTTGTTTTGCAACAATTTAATGCATACACATACACCTTGCAAAAATCTCACCGGTTGCTTTTTCCAGCTTCTCCTGGTCATTTTGGACTTTGTCACAAATCCAATACTACATGATAGGGTTTTTCTGGTTTTCTGAAGCTTTCAGCTCTATTAAGGCAGACACAAAACTCCTTGCATGACTTCTGCAGCCACAGCAAAGCGCTTGGATGCAATCGGCACTGAGCTGTCTTTGGGCAGCCTCTCTGGCCTTCATTGCAAGAGGTCTTTAACGCCAGTTCTCTTAGGCATCGAGGGAGAAACGTGTCTATGTTGGCTGCTTGTGGTGGTATCTCTGCATTCAGCTCCTGTATTTTATACACACTAAGCTAGTCAGCAACCAATTACAATAGCTGAAAAAATGAAAGTACTTTCAATGGATGTTTTTTACCTTGTACTAGGTATACACATTGTGCACAAGCTTGGATATAACACTGCTGTCTTGATAAAGGCTTTAGTCCAGCCAAAGAGTTTAGCGTATGCTGAACTTTTAGCACATGAGTACTCCTTTTAGCCTGAAAAGAAGTCCTGGGAATTCAAAATAAGTTTCCCAAGGCCCCATATTATGCCCTTTACCTATACAACCTTTGATGCTAAAATGTAAAGCAGAAATGTACTGTTTTCAAAGGGATTTTCTCATTAAATGTCTAGGGGATTTCCAAGAATAAACAAAAGATTCCCCTCCCTCCTTCCCCTCCCCGCCTCTCCAAGCCAAATACACATTTTTCCTGTATCTTGCCAAAAGAATAACAGTCTAGAGCGTACACAAGACCTGGATGCTTCCAGAAAAACCTGTGAAACTCCCAGCCTCAGGGTATATCAAGAAACAGCCCATACAGTTTGCAACAATATTTTTCATTTTGATTATTTTTATGCAGCTCTCAGTATTTTGGGGTACGTGAGAAGTGAGGCCCACCTAGCAGGATTCTCCCTCAAACACTCTGAATCTTGCCCAGAAGGTTGTAATAGCGAATTTTCCTTACTGAGTTCCTTTACTTCTATCTAAATGAAAGTATTACAGCTATGAAATACAGTTCAAGGTTTTTAATTTTCGTTCCCATGTTTCAGATTTAATTTTTAAGTCTTCAATTATGCACCGACTCGTGCGTCTTCCTTACAGATGTTGATAATGGATTTAATTATCCTGTCCAACAGACAGACACGGCTGTTGTTGGACTGTCTTCATGGATTAATGTTTTGTGCTTTCTTTAGATTAACCCTTTTCCCTCTTTGGCATTTTCCTGTCACCATCAGAAAACATCCATCAAACATATTTTC